TGGGGGAGAGCTGGGCTGGAACCCCCCCCTGCCCCTCTTGGGATTTAGGGGAGAAAAATATGAAGACAACTTGGTAGGCAGCTCGCTGCGGCGCGTTGGTTTGTTTTATTGGGGCTCAAATATCTGGCTTAATTTGGAGATAAGCCTCGTTTTGTTGGAGGATAAATCTGTTGAGAAGGGGTTTAACTGTTGAAATGCTCTCTCCTTCTGCTGCAAATGGGAAGATTGCGTTTCAAAGTGCTTTTTCCTGGGAGCTGTCGCTCCGGCAGAATCCTGTATATATTTCAGGCAGAATGGCACATTGTTTTATAAATATCTTTTCTGTAGTTTCGACATAGCTGCTGGTTGTTGTGTTTCTTATATAATGCTACCCGAGATCTGACTGTCTCACGTTTGCTGTACTCCTCTCCCATTACCGTTCAGATTTTCCTGCATAGAGTAAAAACCCCCGGGGGAATAAATCGGCGGTGCTTATTTAAACAGACCACGACTTGAAGAAAATACTTGCGTTTTTTGGAATATCCTTTGCCATCCACCAATGGCATTTCCAACGTTGTTTGGAAACATTGAGAAGTAATTTTTATAAGCGATTGCTTTTCCGCATCGGCTCTCGGAGCTCAGCTTGGAGCCTTTGATGTCGGGTGAGGTGGGTTCCTCTGCTTCTGCCTGCTTTGGTGAACTGTCTAAAAACGCTGTGCCTCTCTCCCTGCCTTCTCCGTTTTTCAGATGTGCCCTACTTTGGATATTCCTGCATTGAATGTCTGAGGAGCTCCAGCCGATCCTGAGCCATGTCGCAGATGTTGCACATAGAGATTCCCAACTTTGGGAACACCGTTCTGGGCTGCCTGAACGAGCAACGGCTGCTGGGGCTGTACTGCGATGTCTCCATCGTGGTGAAGGGCCAAGCCTTCAAGGCGCACCGGGCGGTCCTGGCCGCCAGCAGCCTCTACTTCCGAGACTTGTTCAGTGGGAACAGCAAAAACGCCTTTGAGCTGCCGGGTACCGTCCCCCCCGCTTGCTTCCAGCAGATCCTCTCTTTCTGCTACACCGGGAAGCTGACCATGGCGGCGAGCGAGCAGCTGGTGGTGATGTACACGGCGGGCTTCCTGCAGATCCAGCACATCGTGGAGAAAGGGACGGACTTGATGTTCAAGGTCAGCTCTCCCCATTGTGACTCTCAGACCACCATGATCGAAGACCCCAGCTCGGAGCCGCAGAGCCCCTGCAACCAGCTGCAGTCGGCCTCGGCGCCCTACGTCATGTCCCCCTCCATGCCCATCCCGCTCCTCACGCGCGTCAAACACGAGAACCTCGAGCTGCAGGCGGCTGCCCTGCCCGGCCTGCCCGGCAAGCGGCCCCTCGAGCCCGGTGCCCGGGAGGGGGCAGGTGGTGGTGGCCCCAACGCCGGTCCCCTGAAGCTCTCCCGTGTCTCCTACTACGGCGTGCCCAACCTGGCCACCCTCATCCCCAACGTCCAGCAGGTCCAGTACTCGCAGGGGGAGCGGACGAGCCCCGGCGCCAGCAGCATTCCCACCACTGACAGCCCCACCTCCTACCACAACGAGGAGGATGAGGAGGATGACGAGGCGTACGACACCATGGTGGAGGAGCAGTACGGGCAGATGTACATCAAGTCCTCAGGAGGCTACTCTGGTAATGGACGGTCTCTCTCCTTGGGTTTTCTGCCCTCCTTCAGTGGTTGCTTGGTTCTTCTCCAGCCAGCACGGGTAGTTTTGGGCTTGTTCATCAGTTTTTCGTCTTTGGGGGCTTCATTCATTTATTTACGTAGTGTGGTGTAGAAGGTGGTGCACGTGGTGGGCTCAGTGCTGGTGTCCGGGTATGGCATGGGCAGGTCCCCCCATGCCATCGCTCCTGGGTTGTGTCCCCATCTGAGACGCTCTTGAGGTAGGAGCGGCTCCGTCATCCTCCACAGTTGGCTTTGCCCTTCGCTTTTTGGCTGAGGCCGCCGACAAGCAGCCTGGTGGTTACATGAGCCGTGCGGTGCTGATGCTGTCCCACGGCGATGGCTGAGCTCACCTGCCATGGGTCACCCGGTAAGGATGGTCATCCATGGGAGGGGACGCGTCAGCCCTGCCGGCCCGGCGAGGGTTAGATGCTCAGTCTGGGAGTTAGTCTTTGGCGAGGTGCAAGGCACAGTCCCTCTGTCCTGGCCTTTTAGAGTCAATTTTTTTTTAAAAAGTGATGAACAAATGACATTTGGAGGAAGGGGCATCAAATAAGTCATTTTCACATTAATTGGGAATATCTGCAAAAAGAAGAAAAGATGGACTTTTATCCCCACTGCCTGAAGTGCCCCCCCCGCTCTTTTCCTTTGCCAGCCTTGCCCAGCGCATCGCTGTCACAAAGGGAAAAGCAATTTGGGGGCTTCTTGATGGTATTTTCTTTCTCTATTAGGTGAGTCCCTGGGCATGGCTAGAGAGAGGAGATGGCTTCGCTTCGGTGGTGCTTGGCCAGGAGCTGCTGGCTCAGTCCCAGGGTGGGCACGGGGGCATGAAGCCCCTTCCCTCTCACTTCCTGCGCCAGAGAGGGCTCCCTCGGGCGCGCACCCCCGGCCACCTTGTGGGGCTCAGACCCTCTTGAGGAGCAGGAGCAGGGGAGGGGTATGGAGTGAGGGGCTCAGGACCGGAGGGGGAGATGTCTGGCTGGGTCGCTGCCTGCATCCCACATGCATGAAGCTCGCAGCATCCCGTGCGGATGAAGCTCACAGCATCCCACGCGGAGGCTCGGCCTCGGCGCAGTGGCCTCCCCACCGGAGCTGCAGGTGTTTCTGGTGGTGGCTTTGATCCGCGGGCGCTCCCCGGGAAGGGACATCTTCCCGCCGGCTCTGGCAGTGCGGAGCATCCTCTTGCCCGCAGCCGCTTTCCCGCTACGGTTCTGCGCTGAAATTTCTGGGTGAATTTTGCAAATATTTAACTCTCGTTTGTTGGCAAGCTGGCGTGCTTTCCTTAAAGCCGTTTGATTTTATTCTTAAGCAAGGGAGAAGATTTGACAAATACGGCTTTTTCCGTTACTTAAAGCCAGGCTTTCCCTCGTACTGAGAACTGGCTCATCCCCATCCCATTCCAAAGAGCATCTCCCCCTGCCAGGTAGCAAGCAGATAAGCAAGATTTTCCAAGCATTTTTACCAAGCTTCGTGCGAAAGTGGGGAAGCATACTTGGTGGGAGTGATACTATTTTAATATTTGCTGAGAAAAGTGGGCAAGCCAGTTGTAGAAAATGAGCCTCAAAAGCCCGTCTGCTCCCTGCTGGGCTTCACGTCCCGGCGGTTGGTACCGGGCAGGAGAGGAGGAGCAACATCAGGGGACGGGGACGTGGTTGGGGTCTCCCCCACGGCCGCATGCCCAGCCGGAGGGGGGGCCCCATCCCCTGGATGCCGGTAGAGTCAGCCTGAACAGAAATCGGGCTGTTTTCCCCACACACTGGTTTTGTTTTTATTTCGCTTCCCGCTTTCCCCGCTGTCGAGCACGCGGTGAGAAATGTGGGTTTGCCTTCAGCGCCGGGGCTCACGGCAGTATTCCTCAGAGCCATGGGATTATGCCCTTGGACACGGTGTTTTCCTTCGCCGGTTCATGCAGTAAGAGAACAAAATAAATCCAGCAGGCGAGGGCAGGACCAGCCCCGGGACGGCGCAGGCGGCACCTGTTAGGCTGTACCCGATTCTTGCGGTGCGGGATCCATCCCAGTTGGAAAAGCGACAATAGGAGCGGCGTTCTCGGGTGTCGCTGGAGGTGCTGCAGCTGTTGAGCCCTCACCTCGGAGCCGGGCGTCCCGCAGTGAAGTTTTCCTTCGTGGTTTCTGCAGGGGGAAGATTTGAACCGCGTCGTGATGCTGAGGCAGGAGAGGAGGCAGGTTGGGAGCGCAGCGCTGCCCGGCCCCGCTGTAAGGCTCTAATATACCCCATTTCTGCTAAAATATCTCTTCCGCAGCAGCACGTTTCAAGGGAGTTTCCTGTTTTAAATAAGCCGGCTATAGTATCAGGCTTCCTGGAAAAGAGGGCACAGAAAAAAGAGATTAAAAAAAAATAAAACCTAAGCTATTCCATTATGGTTTGGACTTGTACAGCTAACTGTATTTTAATTACTCGGGATAAACTGTACCCTCAAAAGGTGCAGAATAATAAAACCATAAGATGGAAGAGAGAAGCCAGCTAATCCTGCTCCTGGCACGTCGATCCCGACAGCCTTACAAAGGCCTGGGGGAGGGGGGAGCCCTTTAAAATAGTGATTGCCAGGGTTTCCAAGAGCCCCGTTCGTAAAAACAAAAACAAAGCCAAAGAGGAGCACAGCAGATGAAGCCCTGAATTTCAGAGAGGGTTTTTTTTTTTCTTTCCTCCTTTTTCTCCGCTTTTTCCTTCCCCAGCTGAGGCGTTGACTGAGGTAATGCTGGCGAGCGCCTGGTGGGACGCTGGTGCCTGATGCTCTTCGCTTCCCTTGAGCATCGCTTCCCTTGAGCATCATCCGCCTGGAGCACCATCACCCACCTTGAGCATCACCCACCGCTCGCCGGGCAGGGGAAGATGCTCAGCAGGACCCCCCTGAGCCCAGGGGGTCACGAAGCCTCTTCTTCTCCAAGGCTGGGGGTTCTTTTATTTATTTACTTTTAATAGTTAGAACCACACTGGATCTCCAAAGCTGGGATCAGAGAGCCAAGGAGCACATCATCACCTTGGCCAAGGGTTTGATGGTGGTAGAGGGAGCGAGGTGGAGGTCTTGTCAAGCAATGTGCCTCCTGCAGCGGTGGCACCGGCGTGATGGACCAGGACAAGTGTTGGACCTGCAAAAGGAGCAGCAGATAAATGAAAGGATAAGCCCAGCCTTAAACGTGGGCCGATGGGAGGGTTCGGGTTGGGTGTCGGCAGGCAGGGTGGCAGCTTGCAGAGGGATGTAGGAAAAGGTGCATCAGCTCCCACTGGCCTCTGGCTGCATTCGGTGGCCGCGGTGTCACCGCCACCGTCCCCACCACCCCCCTGCTGCTGTGGCAGGCTGGGAGCATCGCGGGAAAATGGCTCCTTAGTCCGTAACTAGGTCTGGTGGTGGAGAACATGTGGGCCTTGAGGACACGAGTGAGACTTAATGAGGTTTCTAGCATCTGATCTGAGGAACGCACAACTCCAGAAAAATATTAAACAAAAGCAAAGTATTTTTATCCTTGTTAATTACAGCGTCGTGGGCCTGATCTGAAGTGGGTTTCAGCAGG